CCCGGCTCTCACCTCCCGGCAGCAGGTTCCCCTTGAGTAGGGAACAAGGCACGTGACTCCCGTTCATATGAACCAAGGCGGTCACGTGACGCTGGGCGCAGCTGATCGCAGAGGGGCGGGGCGAATCCCGAATAGAGCCAATCAGAGCCCAGCGGCTCCCAGTCTCCGCCCTCAATTCCGGCTTCTGCCCGGCGCGCGGGGCCCTGCGGGAGCAGCGCCGCCTGGCGGAGGAGTCAGGCGCTGGCCGGGGTAGCCACACGGGGCGGCGAGGGACCCGCCCCGGCACGTGGCTTCGGGCCGGCTGGGGGGGGGGGCCCAGCGCAACCTGCCCCAGGTCTCCCTCTGGCTGCAGAAGGGGCCGGTGGGGGGCTGGGCCGCCACTAGCACTAGGACCCTTGAGAGCTTCAGTGGGGCTCTGCTTTCCCTACTAGGAGTGTGCAAATGTCACCCCTCTCCCCACAACAGCTGTACAGAGCCAGGTGCTTGAGCCTGACTGGCCCGCTTAAAAATAGCCACAACCCCGTGCTCTCGGTGAATGCCACAGAGATGGCTGCTGCCGCCTGCCACCCACCCACCCGATTCCACCACGTCCATGGCGCCAACATCTGCATCGACCCCTCGCACACTCAGGCCACCAGGGTGGAGAGCTTTGCCAACGGGCTATGTTTCAGCCAGGAGCCCCTGGAGCCTGGACAGATCTTCCTAGTGGAGATTGAGGAGAAGGAGCTGGGCTGGTGTGGCCACTTGCGGGTGGGGCTAACAGCACACGACCCAAGAAGCCTGGATGTAGTGCCGGAGTATTCGCTCCCAGATCTGGTCAATATGGGGGACACCTGGGTTTTTGCCATCACCAGGCATCACAACCATGTTACTCCAGATGGCTCAGAGGCTCGGCTCCAAGGCTTCCTCTCAGACCCCTACCTGCTCATAGAACAAGTCAGGATTCCCAGAGACAAGCTGGTGGGACGGAGCAGGCCCAGCCAGTACAGCCACATGCTGGATGACTTGTACAAGACAAATGTGCTGCCCCCGACAGCCCGGAGGAGCAGGATTGGGGTGCTGTATGCCATCCGGTCTGACGGGATGGCAGACATGCACATCATCATCAATGGAGAGGACATGGGACCGAGTGCCAGGAGCCTCCCTGTCTCCCGCCCACTCTATGCAGTGATCGATGTCTTTGCTTCAACCAAGAGCGTCCGTGTCATCCAAGTGGAATATGGCTGTAGGTATCTGTGTTTCCTCCCCTCCCTGTAGAACCATCCGGGACAGGCCCCCTCTGGCTGGATAAGAGCTCAGGGAGATCAGAGTAGGGTGGGGCTCAAAAAAACTACTTAAATCCAGTAAGATTAAATGTCACAGTCTCCAAGGGGCACAAGCTCAGATACCATGGTGCTGAGCACAAGACTGACAGATTAGACGGGAGAAAGCACTCATTTCCTGCTGGATACAGCTTCAGCCCTGAAAATCAGAACCTAGCTCAGGTTCCCCAACACTCATTTCTCTGACCTTCCAGCCTCTTTTCTCTATACTCCTGAGCTCTCACATCTGTGTCCTGATCTCCATGGCTATAATTTCTGCCTCCCTGCCCTGCCCTGCCCTGCCCACCTATCGTCTCTGAGCTCCTGACTGTTCTCATTTTTGTGACATTTCCAAGTTGGGATCAGCTTGGAGAGGCAGTTCTGGGCTGAGGTTTGGGTGCAGGGAGCAGAAACAGTGTGTTGCCATTTATGTCCTGCAGAACATCCAGGGACTCCTGTGTTACGGCCTCTGGTGAAGATGTTCATAGATAGGGATAGTGGGTATGGGGCCATCCAGCCCACTCCAGTAGTGGTAAAGTCATTTCCATCGCAAAGCTGTTCAGTGGACGAGGTGTGAAATCAGTTTGGTGTCTCAGTCAAACTCCTGATGGGACAGGTGGCCATGTCACAAAATCCACCATCGCTAATTAGCCACCTCGTTGGCTACCTTAGAGAGGCCAAGTACTAAGTGAGACAAGGAGGCTGTGGAAGAACTCCTGATATGTTAATGGCTAGTAACATAAGAATTGCTATGCTGGCTAACGTCCCACATTTGTTGTAATGGATCAGTCCTTATTGGCTGATACCTGGATTCTAGATGTGAGGCCACATGTACAGGACTACAATAAAACCAAAGAACAACTGTAACTATGGAACAGGCAGAAGAGTGACTTATCGATAGGGAAGCCTTCCCTTGTTTCACTGGCTTAAAGTTCAGATTATTTTGGTACCAAGGCTAAAATCCAGTGGTTTCTCTGCTAGTTGTTTTGAGTTAGTTCTGTGAATGTCCAAACACAGGGAGATAAGATACGCTCTGCTCTGCAGGCTTGTCAGTCCTAGGAGGATATTTTGAACCTGACTCATGTATTTGCATGTGCAATTATCAATCATTAAACCGACTTTGATCTAACAGGACCCCGATGCTCTAATGAGCGACTTTGGTAGCAAGCAGCCTCTCATGTTATTCCTGGACTGAACCACACCTTTTGTGGAGGGCCTGTGTCCAGCTCAGAATGTGAATCAATATCTTTTTCCCCGTCGGCCCTCGAGGCTGGAAGCTGTTGGGGGCAGTTGCAGTACCAGGCAAGTTGCCTCAGAATGTTCACTAGGGCTTCGTAAGATGGCTGGAAGTGATGCAGGAGGCAGACTCTGGCTCTTCTCTCACTTCAGGCTTCAGTGATTTCTATTTCTGCAAAGCTTTCTTAGCATATAAAGAGAAGTTTTACTGTTTATTGGCCAGGAGACAGTTTGCAGAGGAAACACAGAACAAACAAGCTGCGGCCACTGGTGATGCTTGTGGGTCACAAGGGAGATTCAGGGCAAGTGGACATGGGGAGGAAGATATTGCTGCAGATAGTGACAGGGACACTTCTTACCTAGTCCCCTGGTCATAACAACCCCAGAGCCCAGTGCCTCCAAGTTAAGGTAAACAAACTATTTGAAAATACTCCCAAGGTCAGACACATCCTCTAAACAGTGGTAACATGTTTGGGCTCAGTACTGCTCTACTTATATCTCTGCCTCAGATTGCGCCTCAAATTCCTAGAAGTCACCAGCACTTAAGGCAGCCATTTTACACAGAGACATTGAGCAAGAGTTCAGATTAATCACAGCTGACGGGTTCTTAACCACAGGGCTGACACAAAGGCCAGATTATTCCAGCCTTTGAACTCTCCATCTCTCCTCCCAGAGAGGTAGTCAGGGGTGGGGCACTGTAGCAGGATAACATGAGGTGAGCAGGCCCTGCTGCTGCCTGGGCTGTACTGTGGATAGCGAATTCACGCTCCAGGATTCTCTGGAGACTTTTACCAGCACCAAATAACTCAAAGAATTAAGAAAGAAAAGGTCTAGAAGCACGCTGTAGATTTTATTTTTTCTGTTGAGTGTCGAGAGCCTTACAGGAAATCCGATGGGACTATGTGGGGGGTGGGATCAGAGCCTGCGGCCCAGCAGGAGCACTGCTGCGAGGGAACAGAGACCTCACTGACTAAACCAGCTCTAACCAGTTAATCGTAACACTGTTGTGAAAACAGTCTCTCTGGGAAACCCCAGCCAGACCTCAGAGGGATCTAACATTCAATCCTGCTGTGTCTGCTAACTCAGGGACAGGAAGAGAGAGAGAGGAGGGCTGGGGATCAGAAGTTCACGCAGCGTTTAGATGAATTAATAGGGCCTTTTCAAAATCCATCATGAAAATGCACCAGCACAGGCACATAAACTGCTCTCCTAGCCTTTACGGGGAGGATAGAAAAGTAAGTACTTCCATCCTTCACTCTCATGTTGTGTTTCTCAGCAGTAGCTCTCCCCAGGAAAGCAGGAGAGCTGTGCCCCAGCGTAATCAGCAGCCAGATCTTTGTGAGGCTGAATTAATGGTGTCCTTGAAGCATATTAATCTGCTGCTGTCCCAGAACAAACTGCCTTCCAGGAGCCACTGGCCCAGTGGCTCTTCTCTTCTGTGACAGAGCCACCTGCCTCCTAAGGTCGCCTCAGAGCAGCAAGCTCAGCTTTTCCCTTTCCTTCCTCTTCCAGTCCCTTCCTTGCAGACCCTCTGTCGACTGGTCATCCAGAAGCACATTGTCCACCGATTGGCCATCGATGGGCTGGACCTGCCTCCGCTCCTGAAGAACTTCTGCAAATATGAATGAGATGGCAAGATCTCCCTCAGCAGGCAGGCCCTTCAAACATGCAGCCCCTGTGAGTGACCAAGAATGGCCTTCCAGAAGGGGATCCATGCTTCCAGAACTGCTCTTCCATCTTCACCCAAGGAGCCCCAGGAGCAGAGGTGGTCCCCCCACTTCACAGCAGCTGACTGGAACCTCAGCAGTTACACCCATCCTGACATACATTGTGCCGTGGAAGTGTGCAGTGCCATAAAATGGCACAGAGACCACTGGAATGGCAGAGCCTTACAGCACAGACAGTCAATAGCAGAAGGGAAGGAATAGCAGCAATGGGGGGATTCCCTGCACACAAAGGGACACGGAGGGATTGGTGCATGTGCCAGATTGTTGTAGAAATGAGAGGATAATAAAGTGCTTCAAAACAGAAGCAAATTGTTGGGGGTATTGACTGGTGTGGCCTAGTCTCAGACTCCTCCACATAGCAATGGAGAGAGGGTAGCACAGAATATCCCTCTGAGGTTGTGTCAATTGCTGTCAGCTACTTCAGAGTCACATAATTCAGTGACGATAAACTTGCCCTAACCAAAGGGGTTGGGGGATGTTCATTTCCCATCGGCATCCTGCACAAGAAGGTTCCGAAGGGACAATCCAGGTAAATGTGGAGCCCTGGCTGCTTCTTCCAGGCACAGAGGGACCCAAGAGCTCTTAGAAACGGAATAGATGAAGCAGAGGGATAGTTCCCTGCTTTGTAGGATCTCAGTGGGGGATGACAGAGTTAGAATTGTGGCATAAGCAGGCAGGGAGGTCAGTGGCTTGCTGGTTCCAGTGTGAGGTAAGGTCAGGGCCTGTGATGCTGGTTCTAGAATGGGGAGAGGTCAGTGCTGGTACATTATGGGAAGAAGAGGCACCAGCCTGATTCCTACACTGGCAATGTCTTATTTTGTGAAGGAAAAAGCTTCTTCAGGTTTTTTAACTTCCATCCAAGGTAACTGCTTTTCCTTCCAATAGGGAAGCATTTTGTACAGAAACCAGAAAGTGATTGGAAGGTGACTCAAATATCTGTTTGCTGCATGGCAAATTTACCCATCAAATAGGAGATTTAGGATTAAGGGCTTGTTATATCACAATCCACACTTCATACGGAGGCCCAAATAAAATGCCATCCCGAGGTGGCACGTAAACAGGACATGACTATATCATAATTATCTCAACAATCCCTGCTCTGTACAAGGCCTTTCCATGGTCCAGGAACAGTTATAATAGTACAGTCCTATCTGCCCTGCATATTAACTGTGTTGGAGCTCCCCATAACTGAGCTCTAATCCTCCATCCCAATCTGGATGGGAGGTGATTCCACCCCCCTTCCCCACCCCCAACCTAGCTGTAGTTTAGCTGGTCCATTTTTACAGATAATACACTCTTGATGGGTCAGCATCACTCTGTCCCATAGTAGGGCAGCAACGTCCAAGTCTGCAGGACCTTCCTCATTAAATTCCGCAGGAAAGCCTGCCTCATACCCCTTAGAATTAAGAGCATGCTCTCCATGTTCAAAGCACTGGTCAAACGTGAACTGACTCTCACCACACTACAGAGAGGGGGCTGAGAAGAGAGGCTAAAGGCCTCAAGCCGGACTCCTTTCTTTCAGCTGGAAACAAAGAGAGCCAGCATCATGTGAGGATCAGTTCTTTGCAGAATATGTCTGTCAATCCCACCAATGGCAGGGCAGGTGTTTGCACACACAAAGCAAGCCTCTCTTTGAAAATCGGGCCCTAGCTCACTAAGAAAAAGTACAGAAGAGCTGGGATTGGAATGCAGCTGCCAGTGCAATGTGCTATCACTAACCCATGCGGCTTCCAGCTCACAGGGTGGAGTGGGATGCAGGAGGAGAGTTCTCCTGACCCCTGCAACTGGAATGAAAATTACAGCCTAGTTCTCATTCCACTGGTGTAATTTCTCTTAGGAAAGATGTTTACTCAAAAATAGTGGTGACTTATTTCCAGTGTTGCACATGGAAAGGTGGATGAAATGGACAGCCATGTGGTATGAATGCAGCGGAAACCCTGGTACAAACTATGTATATTGTAAATCATTTCTGCCACAAACTGACTTCTTGCTCTTCAGGCACCTATCTAGGAACATGCAGGACAACATTTTCAAACCTAGGCCTCAGATCTGCAATGCCCAGTGCTGGGGCACACCACAGAAGGTTAATGTGCTCAATTAGAGCACAGCAAGACCCCTCTAAATTTAAATTATGGAGATATCCTATCTCCTAGAACTGGAAGGGACCTTGAAAGGTCATCAAGTCCAGCCCCCTGCCTTTACTAGCAGGACCAAGTACTGATTTTTGCCCCAGATCCCTAAGTGGCCCCCTCCAGGATTGAACTCATAACCCTGGGTTTAGCAGGCCAATGCTCAAACCACTGAGCTATCCCTCCTCCCTGAAAGCATGGCCCCTTGATTTCAGTGGTTGAAAGGCTGTTTATGCAGAGACCTGCCTTAGCCCTGGAGCCTACCTGTTGAGGATTGGCAGAAGCACAATCTGCTATTAATAATCAGTCTGCTCCTACATTTTCTCTTTTCCTTCCCCCTCACAGATGCCAGCAGACAGCTCCAAGTGGCAAAGAGCAATCTACTAAGTGTTTATCAGTCTGGGGAGACATCTCTTCCTGCTGGGGTTTTGGTTCCAGGAGTGCGCAGAAGGAACACACAGGAAATTGCAGCTCCTTCACATGTAGAAGCAACCCTTGTGTATCAGGAGAAGACACTAAAGCAGCCTTGTAGTGGTGCCCAGCAGAGTCCAAGGTTCCCTCTCAGTAGCAGATCAGGGTACAGGGACATAAGGTTGGAGCCTTATAGTGGACACTATTGTGGAAGGTATTCTAGAAAGTTTCCCCAGCATAAACAGGATGAGATCTCTATATGGGATTATCCATCTGAATGGGTCAGAGACAAGCAGCCACATGGCCCCTCTGGCATGTATTCAAGTGCCTCTGTGAAAGGATATCCTCCAACCCAGCAAAGGAATGGGCAGCACGTTGGTGAGCTGGGCAGCCGAGGGGGAGACTTCCCACTGGCTACCTGTGGATTTCCTCCCAGAGGTGCTTTTCTTATCCCCATAAAACTCAGTAAGAACAGAGGTCGACAGTCAGTGCAGAACCCTCCTCCAGACATCTGCATCCTCACTCTTGCCATGATGATAGCTGGCATCCCCACAGTGCCTGTGCCAGGGATTAAAGAGGAGGATCTGATCAGAGCTGCACAGAACTTCATGACAGAGAATCCAGAGCAAGGTGTACAGGGGGAGATAACTCCAAAAAGGACAGGGGATGCACAGTTCTGGAAGACAGACAGACAGAGGAAGAGACCAGTAGACAGAGGCTTCCAGCCCCCTTCCATAGCACACTTTGAGAAGTAAAGCCAAGGAGAAATTCACAATTCAAAGCAAAAGGTTTTCAGGAAAAGATTTGATGCTATATTTACATAAAGGAGTTTATATTACAGAACTCTAGCTCAAAAGGAAATCTTTGACCATACAGTAGTTCTGTTCCTGTGAATGGAGTGTTGATTCTGATGTTAACAAAACTGTGACTGAATCATTGAGCCAAAACAAACCACAAACAATTTGACATGACATGAATAAACCAGGCTGAGCTAGGGTGGAACAAATTACTGACCTAAATAGCACCTTCTGTCCTATTCCCTCACCACTCCCTGTTGACTGGTACAGAAAATTATATCTACATCTCCCTGCCCCCAGGGTCTCCTTGCCTGAAGGTGCCAGAGAGGGACCACGCACCAACCCATCCATATATCCCCATGTCGTGCAGCAGCTCTTACTGGCTGGGACTGTGACTGCTCTCTCCTCTGCATGCCCCCCTTGGCCCACTACAGTACATTTAAATCTCTGATTTCTCCACTTCGCTGTTTGTCTTACCGTAACTCTAATTTCAGATTTATGTATCAGAGGGGGAGCCGTGTTAGTCTGGATCTGTAAAAAGCAACAGAGAGTCCTGTGGCACCTTAGAGACTAACAGATGTATTGGTGCCACAGGATTCTTTGTTGCTTTTTACAGATTTATGGTAACACTGTTTTGTTCCCTCCTCCCATGTCAGTGACACAAGCCTGTTGACGACAGAGGGCAGGTTTATGTGGAATTAAGAGCTGCCATAACCAGCCAAACCACTCCAGTGCTCCTAGCAGAGGCTGCAGACAGCAGCTCCCTGGTAGCATGGGTTGCTACTCTCCGGGGTTTGTGGCTCCTTAACAAGCAGGTTCAGTTAAATAATTAGAGGCAATGAAGTGAGAAGAGAAAAACAAAAGACGTGGTTTCAAAACAGAGGTCTGACTTCACATGAGCAAATCCTGCTCTACCAGACTAGTAGGAAGCCCCATGTCACCATGACAGGAAAGGGAAGGGAACCACAGCTGGCTCAGATACACATCCTGGGACTAAACCACATGAACCCAGCTGCCACAACAGATAGCAAAAGGATCCCATGAGTGTCTGAATGCATGAACTATGGTTCAGGCAAGTTAGTCCCAGGTTATTACCCTCCTCCCCCATTCCATTCCCAGCTGGGTTTCCTGTTGGCTGGGCCAGAGACAGAATTCCTACCTAAGTCCACCTCCTTAGGTCTCATAGCAAGAGGAAGTGTTCACCCAATAGACATTTAGGATCTGAAGCCAAAGGGGAAACTACCATGATGCAGATTTAAGACCCACATTTATACAGTTTCTAAGGAGAATAAAGTGGAAGACATACCACTGGAGTAATTACATTTAAACAGACATTTTTATAGTATTTCACACCTCACTTCTCCCAGAGGCCCAGAAAGCAGGAGAGTCACACCTCGAAGAGGCTAAGAGCAGAGGAACGGAGCTCTCAGTTCTGAACTACAGCTTCACCTGAACATAAGGTCCAATCCAGCTATCGGCCAATTCTCGGAGGGTGTTGTATCTCCGATCAAACTCCTCACTGCTGCACTGGGTAAGAAGCCGGCTAATCTCCGCTGTAAGAAAGGACACTGCTAAGGATTTATCCAGGGACTCATTCCAGGAGCTTTTCAGAACCTCCAAGAGGCCATCAGCGCCATTTTGCCCTGCCTGAGAGATATTAGGTTCCTTCTGCCATTGCTCACTCAGCATCTCCGGCTGTAAGATCTTCTTATCAGAGTTCAACACAGCCAGCATGTGCCTGCAGGGCAGCTGGAAAGCTTGACTGAAGTGGCAAGTGCAGCTTTTCAGGCCCCTTTGGTTCACTTTGTGGGTGTCTTCGAGGATCTGTATATTGACTATGTCTTCATTGGTGCCTATTAGCTGCACAGACTTCTGTGCCACTGCAAACTCGTTCAAGCATAGTCTGGCTGCAGGCTCTGTGCAAATGGCTCTCAGTGACTGCCTGATGCAGTCTTCAGTCTCTTGGTTACACTCCACATCTTGGTCACCCTTTGGGTCTTCAGTGATGATCTCCAGTTTAATGTCATGGGATAAAGGATCCAAGGGGCTCTGAGGGTTTGCTAACTGGTTCTGAGGGGCGGGCAAGGGATTCTGAAGAACCAGGGGATTTGGAGGGGAATTCTGACCGGGCCATTTCTGATGAGTTGCTGTGAGATTGAGAGAAACTGGTGAAGAATACTGAGCTGGCTGGTTCTGAAAAGGGAAGATCTGAGGGGCTGCCAGCTGGTTCTGAAGAAGCAGGGGGCTTGGAGGAGCTGGCAGGGGATGCGGAAGAACCACCAGGGGATTTGGAGGGGAATTCTGACCTGGCCATTTCTGATGAGCTGCTGTGAGACTGGGAGAAACTGGTGGAGAACTCTGAGCTGGCTGATTCTGAAGAGCTATTTGGGGGTTGTGAGAGGTTGGTGGCGAGTCCTGAGCTGGCAGGCTCTGAAAAACTGTCTCAGTAGACATGGTACTGCTAAGAGGGTTAACAGAGAACAACACAGCATCAGGGGGCCTCTTTGAAACACACTTCTGGTAGTGTTTCGCTAGAGAAGTGATGCAGATCTCCAGAGACAGTCCAGTGCAGAAGACCTGGCTTAAGCCCCGTGTGATGATCTCCAAGTCTTTAAAATACTGATTGCATTCCATCCAATTCCTCCATCTATGCATAGCCCATATCTTGTCATTGAGAAGCCAGTGAGTATGAAGCTGGGGAAGCAAGTCTGGTTTCACAAAGTCACTCAGGATTGTGTGCATCATTCTCAGGTTGCTTTCAGTGGCTGCACACATAGTGTTCCTCAAGGCATTTAAGATCAGTCTCTCCGAGATGCATTCCAAAGACATCTGATGAATCTTCTGCTGCAGGTGCTTGCATACATGGAAAACAGATAGCTGCACCTCTGCAGATGGGAATGCTTCAGAAAGAGTCTGCAACAATCGAAAGTGTGGATCTACCAGAAAGGTCTTAATTTTCTTCCACTCAGGGTTGAAGGCCTTGAAGGTCCTATACATGTGAGCCAGGCTTTCTGCAGATTCTTTAGCTGGGACAGCAAAATGAATTACCTTAATCATCTCACCCTGCAGCTTCAGGAAAGGTCTGTCCACCATGAACATATACAGAGCTTTGCCCCTGGGATTGTGGGTTCTGTGGATGAATATGACATCAGGAAAATGCACAAATATGTTTCTCATGAGGACAGTCTGGAAGCTGATAGAGTCCAGCTGAGAGTTTTTATCTAATTGGTAAGCTACCAGCGAACCACAATCAAAGCTCAGCAGTTCCTTCACGGTAACTAGGGCCATTGTTAATATGAGGGGTCTATTCCCCCTTTTGTTACAGCATTCACCACCTGATTCTCTTTGCGATTGGGTGATTCCCTATGATCCAGCCACGTTGGGAATGCCAGCGTCCTGGTTACCATCACAACATCCACACTGCCTCAGCCAGATTCATGCTGCACTGTATGGTGATGGGCCTATTGGGAAGGAGGAAGAAGGGTGAGTAGTTAGATAGCGGGCAGGGCAATGAAATGCAACACTTTCCCACACTGGCAGACACAAGACTAGAGATTAACAGAGCGATGCCCAAACGTTGCCCAACGGACTGGGTGCAGTCTGCAGGGGGCAGCACTTCTCTGGCATAAGGACAGATTGCAGCCCGCGGAGCTGTACTATGTGAGGTGCGGCCAAGGGGAGGGAGAGGTTCCAGTACCCACTATTCCAGTCCCACCCTAGTGTGTGTGGAGGGGGTGGGCGGCCCCCCTCCCCGCATGCACTGCTCCAGCCCCGCCCTAGTGTGTGTGGAGGGGTGGGCGGCCCCCCCTCCCGGCATGCACTGCTCCAGCCCCGCCCTAGTGTGGGCGGCCCCCCCTCCCGGCATGCACTGCTCCAGCCCCGCCCTAGTGTGGGTCGGTGGCCTGCCCCCCCTCCCGGCATGCACTGCTCCAGCCCCGCCCTAGTGTGCGTGGAGGGGTGGGCGGCCCCCCTCCCGGCATGCACTGCTCCAGCCCCGCCCTAGTGTGTGTGGAGGGGGTGGGCGGCCCCCCCTCCCGGCATGCACTGCTCCAGCCCCGCCCTAGTGTGTGTGGATGGCCCCACCTCCCGGCATGCACTGCTCCAGCCCGCCAAGCCGGACCCTGCAGGAGGCCTCCGCACGGGGTCAGAAGGTCCCGGCGCGCCCCACTCCCCGGGCCCGCCCCGCGCGAGGAGCCGTCCTGGCCCCTCTCACCTTAACGCGGCGCCTGGCCCGTCATCGCCGCCATCTTCGCTTGGCCCGGGGGACTGACTGATAGCCAACCAAACCACCAATCATAAAGCGGCTGTTCGGGACCCCCAGCCAATCAGAAGAGATCCCGCTCTCTGCTGGCGAATCCACCAATCGGAGTACAGAGAGAACGGACAGACTAACCAATCAGAGTATAGCATGGCTGGGAGCGGGAGTCTGGTCTCCATGGTTACACGTCTTCCAATGGGAGCGGCGAGAAGGTCCCAGCAACTTTTCCCGGAGCCGGCGCAATGGCTCCGGCAGCGCAGGGCGGTCACGTGACGATGGGGGACTGGGTCATGTGACGCCCCCCAGGAGTTTACAGCCGGCAGGCCCAGGCCCGTGTCCGGCCCAGTGGGGGGGGGGGGGGGGGGGGGGGGGGGCTGGCTCTGGCCGCCCTCTGCCCCCAGCAGCGGCGGATTCAGGTTTTGTGGAGGCCAGAGCATTCCATTCTGCCCCTTCACCCCCGGTGGCTCCAAGCCCAGGGCAGCTCTGTCATTCCCTGCCCCAGGGGGCTGCGAGAGCGGCCCTCGTCCTGCGGCCCCAGCAGGGCGCTAGAGCTCCCCCAGTCCTGGGTCTGGGCACTGGGGCTTCCCCCCACCAGCACTGCTGCCGGGGAGCAGGGGCTTTCCCTGCCCACCTAGCACTCCAATTGGGGACTGCTGCTGCTGCTGGGAAGCAGGGGTGGGGCATGGGGGCTTTCTCTGCTCCACTCCTGCCCAGCTCTCTTGCCAGGGATTAGGGGCCCAATTGGCCAGGGCCCTGGGCACAGGCCCAGTCATCCCAATAGCTAATCTGCTACTGTCCCACCAAGGCATGGCCCTGGCCTGCACTGACCCTGCTTCAACCCATACCATGCAGCTGCTTCAGGGAGGCCCAAAACTAGACCCTGCGCAAGAGATATGGTGCTAGATGACACATGGATTTGGGCACCTCCACACAAGCTCATCTCTGACCTAAAATGGGCCTCAAGGTCATACAGTTTAAGGTTAGCATGCAGCACCCAATCATTTAGTCTGACCTCCTGTATACCACAGGCTACTCAGTACCACCCAGCTCCCCCGTGCACCAAGCCCCAATCAACCACCAGGATGAGACCCGTGGATTGCAGCCCTCAGAACACTAAGCTAAAGTGTGCCACAGACAGAACTGGAAGGAGTGAGGCTCCCCACTGGCCAAGGCCCTTGCAAGTAGCAGGGAATTGACTTACTGATATATGCAGATGAGCCTAGCCAGTAACCCCCCACTCCATGCTGCAGTGGAAGGTGACACCCACCCCCACGTTTCTTGCCAATCTGACTGGGGAAAAAAATTCCTTCCCAAGCTGGAATAGGGAAATCAGTTACACCCTCAGCAAGACCCATGAGCCAAGCACTTGGGAAAAAGAACTCTGTACCACCTCAGAGCATTGGCCCACTCCGTCCCAATAGCCCAGTCTGATGTTAGGGTCATTACAGATGACCCATAGGGCTCCTCTGATCAAATGACACAGCTAGGTCTCTCCCCTCTGTTGCTTTCAGGGGACAAAAACTGAGCTTATCTGATCTTTCAGAAAGGCAAAATAACCTCCATTATGCATCCACACGCACACACTTGCACAATGGGGAAAGCTCTCCTTAAAGCCACCATGGACTAACATAGGGTCTGGAGTGTGATAATAGCTTCACAGCAGTTTAGTGCAGACAAGAGTCCACTCTGGGGATTTAGTTTTGCTTCCTGTGGCATTGCCCCACGCTGCTATTACAAGTTTCCCAGTTAAAAAGAGGCCCCTGGCAGCATGCAAAGGAAAGCAGGGTCCATCCTGATCAACTGAAGAGAAAGGGCCTGTTTATCTTTCCTTTTGAGGATGGACATTGGTTCTACTACAGCAAACAAAAATCCTCAGTTAAGTGAGTTATTTGTATACAAAAATATTAAATTAACACTTGTTATGTTGGAAAAACAACCCTTCCACTCAGAGCTCCCAAGCCACTTCCCCTTAGGACACTTCCACATTGAATACAATTGAGGAAGGCACATATTTCATGTTTGTAGGGCTGAAGTTCAAAGACTGCAGAGGACAGCTGCCTCAGCAATACTTTACATGCTTTTGGTTAGAAACCACTATGGGACTATAAGCAAAAGAAGCAGTTTAAGCCAAGCATGAAGGACAGGCTATGGCCCAAGACAAAATGGAAAACAAATTTAATGACAAAACAAAGTCAGAACCATATTTTAACAATTAATTTGGTCTAAATACACAGCAGCAAACTGACCACTGCTAGCAGTGGTCTCAGCACAAACAGCAACGTACAAACCATAAACGCATTATTGCACTTTCTTCCAGCTGCTACTTAGAGGAGAGCAGGGCACAGCCCTTAAATAGTGCACAACAGAGGATGTAGGGAGGAAGGCAGCTGGACTTGCATCTCTCTGCCTGTTCAAAGCCAAATACTTTTTTCTCTCTCTCTCTTTTTTTTTTTTAATTAAAGTCTTACCACAGCAAGCAATGAGAACAAGTTCACTCCAAATTTAAAAACCAAGAATTAGTTTTCAGAAACCAAAGTAGTGCGTTAGGAAACTTCATCACTATAACCAGGTTTTGAGTGTAAAGCCTCTATACCAGGTTCAGCTGAGAGTTTTCAGGCCTCTGTGGCAGATGACTGGGCTAAGGAAACCATCCCACAGGGAGCATTACTGGCCTGATTTCAGCAGCCCTGAGGTTCTTACACAGGCACCTAGCATGTACTTGGCAAGTGGGAATTGCCATATTCTAACCACCTAGAATCTCTTACAAAAAACAAAAAACCCACAACATGGCTAGTCTGAGAAGACACATGAGCACACAGGAAAGTCTCAAGTTTATTACTGAGATCATCAACAGTCTTGGAAGTTAACAGTTAACCCTGAGTCGACTGGGAATGGGGAGAGAACCATAAGAGGCTGGGAGAGGATTAAACCATCAGCTCCCATTAATAGCTTGTCGAATCTCCAAGTTTGACTACAGAACGTCTGGCATTTCAAATCAGGAACATGTTGGTACCTGTCAGTGATCTCTCAGAGGTTGCACCTGCATCCTCCATTTCTATTTCCTCCTGCTTTACCCAAAGAAATGGCAAGTCCCCCACATTTCTGAAGATAGAGCATTTCCCAGCCTCCTCCACTGGCTCTGAGGATTTAGCCCAGATGTCCACAATCATTTTGAGTGTGGAACTGCGCTCCTCTAGCTCTTCCCCATCACACTGCATCAGGAGATTAGCAAGCTCCTTGCTGAGGGACTGGATTTTGTCATATCTTTCTTCTGCTGCTGCTGGTTGGTTACCCATTGAGGGCCCAATATCATCTAGGAGGTTATCTCCTAAGACTGAAAGGTGCTGGTACTTCTTCTGCCAACGCTTGCATACCATAGCTTCCTCCACAGCCTTCTTGTTGGCATGCAGCACAGACAGGATGTGCCTGCAGGGGAGCTGGTACCGGCAGTGGAAGTAACAGCTGCAGCTCTTGCAGTCTTTGCTGACCTGGTGTGTGTCTTCTAGCAGCTGAACCACAATATTGTCTTTCATGACATTAATGAGCTGAGTTGACTTCTGCACCACCTCCCACTCATTCAGACACAGCTGGTAGCCTAGGTCTGTGCAACTCTCTCTGATTGCTGCCAACATGGTGCCTGGGGGATTTGCAGGTTTCTGTTTGGCAAGTTGGTTGGGCGGTTCAGGACATTTGTTTTGGGGCTGTGAGGCAGCAACAGTGGTACGCTTCATGGAGGCACGGGTACGCACCTTAGGCTTTTCCACATGTTTGCTCTGATTCTCCTCTTCAACACTTGAGAAACCCTGATTCAGATTTTCCAGACCTTTGGTATTGAAGCAATCGGCATATTCAACAAAGTGAAGGATGCTGGTCTCCAGGGACAACTGCTTGTTGAAGAGACTGGATATTTTATGAGTGATGAGATCCAGACTGTCTACATAGGTGCTGCAGGAATGGAGGCCCTTCTTTGCATGCATGTACCACAGCATCTCACAGGAGAACCAGTTGGCCTGAAGATAGTCGTACAACTCTTTGTCCACCAAGCGCTTTACCAGCTGAGACAAGATGTCTAGGTTTGCATTGGAGGTGGAAAAAACCACCTCCCTCAAAGCCAACTTCAGTTTATGCTTGAAGGAAACAGTGGCCACCGTTTCCTTTACCGTCTTCTCAAGGAATCGGACAGTGTGGTAGACAGAGAGAAGCACCTGGGTTGAGGGGAAGAGCTCCTGCATGGTGGCTTTGTGAAGGAAAGACATGTCCACAAAGACCACCTTGACCTTCTGCCACTCAGGATTGAACTCTTTGAAGACAGTCAGCATTTTGCTTACATTCTCACCAGTGTCCTCCTTCAGGACAGCAAAGTGCACCATCTTCCCTACTCGGTCCTTACTCTCCACGAGGAAGGCATAAAGTACATGCCCTCTCTCACTCTGCACCCTGTGCAGCAACAGGCTCTCAGGGAACTTGACAAACAGGCTCCTCATCTTGCTGGTCTGGAAGTTCAGTCTGTCTAGGTCCTGGCTGCTGCCCACACTAATAGAGGCCAATGAGCCCATGTCCACCCTCAGGAAGTTTTTCATGACCTCCGCAATTCTGACTAAAGCTGAAGTTGAGACACTTTCCTTCACTGCCTCAGGTTGCACAGCAACCTTGTTGAGTGGAGCAGGTGATCCATTCAAAGTCATGTCAGCCATCACACACTCCTCACTGACTGTTACAGTGGCTTCTGCCTCTCTTGATTGTTGTCTACGCAGTTTTGTTGCAGGGCTGCTGCCATCTGCCATGCAACTTGCAATTTTGGTTGTGGTTCTCGTCACTAGAGAAGAGCTAGTACGGGCCAAGGAAGTTCCCCCCGGGTCTACATGGATGTGATTACGGTTCAGTTCAGTAATTACCAGCCGGTCTATTTCCTCGTTATACTGCAGGACAAAAAAAGCTGGGCACAAGCTGGGCTGTGGTTTCCTCTTCTTACTGTATTCCCGTGTCCGGACACAGCCAAACTTCA